AACAGCAGGTTAATAATGATGAAATTCGCAAAGAAATTAAAAATATAATAAATATGCAAATTACGAAACCTATTTATAATAATCAGCACTAGATAATATGTATTAAGAAGAGGTAAGTTTTAATGTAATTAAAAGTTATTTTTCCAAACTTCTTAAACAATATGGATAAATTCTTTACTAATATTTTATTGACCTTTCACGGTGTACATAGGCGATTTAAATAAACTTATCACGTTTAAACAAAATTACGCTTTACGAAATAACATAGATAGATAACGAAGAAATTACATTAAATAATTATTGCGATACAAAATGGAATAGTTTAATTTACTAACATATTATTATAATATACCTACTCTGATGATCTATGGATAGGAAAATGTTGGGTCGAATGCCAACAAACCTTCAAAAACGATAGTTAATAACTGAACTATTGTCGAGTCAATATCGCTGTCAAGGATAACGGGGAAAATTATTCTGAAGTGATATTATAATGGCTAGTAGTCTAGAAGTACAAGAAGAAATTCAAGGTTTGTTAAGGTGATTTTAATTTGCAGTCAATATATGAAACATAATAAATACTAATGAGAAGATTGCCTCAAGGAATAATTTTATTACTTTACAAATATTTTTATTAAAAATGTGTCATATTTATTTGGCGCCCAACGTGGGGTGGGCGTCATCGTTATAACCTTTGACTGTACTTCTCTAGTGCTGCAGTGGGAGTTAAGATATTGTATATTATATATTTACAATATTGGTGATGACGGGGTACAGTAAACGAAATTCTATTTAGTCCGTCAGTTAGATGATCAAAAAATAATGGACACGTATTTTTTCTTTGGGTAATCAACCAAAAAATTACAAAATTATAGCGCGTCAAATTTGGGAGCAAGGGCTCGTGACGTCACTTTTAAGTGAAAATTGTACCAAAACGTGACGTCACGCGACTTTTCAAATCAATATATCCCTGCAATGTTTATATTATGTGAAAAAAGAAAAAATACGTGTCCAATACTTTTTGTTAATCTACCTGATAAACGAAGAAAAAAAAATAGGCATCATCTCTATTATGGATGATGATAATAATTTGATTTTTCCATTATAATTTTCATGATCTCTGGCTAATGACCAGCAAAATGTAAACGATTGTAAGCATCTTTCAAATGGCAAAGTGAAATGTTGTCTTTATAAAAATTGATGTGATGAACTTCCGGTCAAAGTGACCGGAAGTTAACTAGCGGCATTACATTGTATCGTTTGACGTTTTAAATGACCGTCGTGTGACTACACATACTAATGAGACGCCATAGAGTCCAGAGAAATGAGAAAGTCCAGAAAAAATGTGTTTTCGCGCCAACTTGAAAATTAAATTATTGATTTAGTTTTTTTACTAAAATACACCACAGAATGATGAATATTCACTTTTTAAAGACTGCATAAACATTAATAAATAACGTGAGATCATTTTCTAAAAGTTGTCAATACCCTAATATACCGTTTTGTTCGCCAGCTTTTTGATTTGATGAAGTCACTCGATCAATCAAGCGGCAGGCCGGCGAGTGATAGATTTTAGACTTGAAGAAGTTCAAATACATTGTTCAGCGCAACAATTTGCAATTCAGCAAGTTGCACTTTATACATAAAATATGGAAATAATATTAGTACGTAATTAGCTACCATTAACGCGACGCGTGCTCAATACCAATCATAACCATTTTCGTATTTATATTATATTTTACTATTTTACATTTGTGAGTTTAAATTATTATACAGTTTTACACGAACTTAGTTATTGACGACCTCCTTGGCCGAGTGGTTTGTACGCCGGGTTTCATGGTGTCGCCGACTCGAGAGGTCCCGGGTTTGAATCCCGGTGGGGGCAGATGTTTGTCTGATGAATACGAGCATTTGTACTCCAGTCATGGATGATTAATACATATTTCTATGTAAATATACTTATATATGTACACTATATGTATTCTATCCGTTACCCTAGTATCCCATAACACAAGCCTTATAGTGCTTAGCTTGGGGCTAGGCTAATTGGTGTGAGTGTTGGAAATATTTATTTATTATTTATTCTTTTCTTACCATACAAACAAAGGAATCTGGACGCTAACCATCGAGCGGACAGACAAATCCTTTTCATACATGATGAAAGTTTGTATGAGAAATATCATTCCAAGCAACCTCACAAAGTCGCAAGCGCCCGCTAGTTTATAAATAAATGATTTCACACAAATACAGTGAATCGAACGGAGATTCCTGCCCACTGCTTACATCCGACAGAAATAAGCTTGCCAAGTAGGTTATCAATGATCCAACAGCGCATAGATTTCTTTATAGATCACTAACTATCCCTTTAAAGTATTGATTTATTTTAACCTACACTTTGGTAGCACTTTCTTTCTTCTTATACACTTTAGTAAATAAAAAAAACAACGTTTAATCAGGATTTAAGAATCTTAGGATTTTCGGATTTTATAAATTGCTGAACCTCTACCCGTAGTGGCAGTGTTTGTTGATAAAATTTGCCATGAAACGAATATATATATTTTCAGGATTTAAAGTATCATAAGTCTCAAAATAGACTTTATCCAAGTAAGTTTTTTATCTACCAATTCAGATGTTTTATTACATTTTTAGGCATTTATCTGCCTGTGTTTATATTCACAAAAGAAAAAACCCATCTGAAAGCTAAACCGAGAAGAGCTTTTTCTACTAACATTTTCTTAAGCTCTTTTATTTACCAAATTTTGGAGTAGCAAATTTACAAACTTTATTTTTTTTTATTATATTAGTAAAACAGTAGGTTGCTATAATGTTTACGCTTAACGCACACGCACGGACCGTGGTCGAAAGACTACAGTTTTGCTACTACGGTGTTTTTTAGTATCCGAAACGTCAAGAACATTATTAATTTAAACAAAAAGCCATTTGAACTATCTTGCCGTTCATAAAGAGTTTTATTTCTTATGATTTGTAACAAACCGCTCATTAAATAAAACACTTTTCAACGGGTTAAATGTATATTTCTACGTTTCAGATACATCTCTTGGAAGAAGCCATCCAACGAAGTTGACCACAACAAGTGGGAAAGTTGTTGGTTCAAAGCCGACAGTCCTTTCGGAAGTGGAAGACTTCTACAGCCAGTTGTAAGCATCACATGCATCTCGACCCATCACGGAAATGAGGATTCTAGAGCCACATTAACACGCCACTTCACCTAAGACTTGCCAGAAGTCAGTATTGGCTAAATCGAGATTGCTCTTGGGCAGCTTAAAAATGGAAAAGCCCCTGGAGAGGATGGTGTTACAACAGAACTCTTGAAGGCTGGAGGTAAACCCGTACTGAGGGAGCTCCAAAAGCTTTTCAACACTGTCCTGTTCGAAGGGAGAACTCCGGAGGCGAGGACTAGGAGTGTTTTTTTTTGTGTTATAGGGGGCATACGAGCAAACGGCTCACCTGATGGTAAGTGATCACCGTCGCCCATGGACACTTGCAACACCAGGAGTATCACAAATGCGATGCCGGCCTTTAAGGAAGGAGTACGTTCTTTTTTTGAAGGTTCTTGGGTCGTATTGGTCCGGAAACACTGCTGGCGACAACATATTCCACAGTTTTGTCGTACGTGGTAAAAAAATTCGACAAAAACGCACGGTTGTGGATAGCCACGCATCAAGATGATGGGGATGAAATTCTTGTTTTTTGTGGTCGTCTTGTTCTTTTAAAAAGGGGGACAAGACCCTACTTAAGAACATGATAAGATACACTCTTCAGAACGAACGGAGCCTCTAAAGGATCTAAAACGTAGAGATATATATATTGGGCGGACAAACACCAGGAAGAAGTCAAGAAAGTGAGGGGCGAAAACGCCGAATTGTGGAAGCAGGTGTCTGCCCTGCGGGGCGAGGTGAACGCCTTGAAAGAGGATATTAAAAAGGGCCAAGGGCAGGAATTGGCCCCTTAAACAGGATTTACAACAGAGGACATCGAACAGCTGAAAGGCTCGCTTATAACGGCAATAAGCGAGATGTTCGGAGCTCGACTGTCCTCGGGGAAGAGGGCGCCTAAAAGAGCTGTTCCAGCACCTCCCTGCACCTGCAGCGCAGCCCGGGTGTAAAAAGCAAAAAGGCGAGCTTCGGTTGATTAAAATTAAAAAGCTCCATTGGTTGAACATCATGGGCTGGGAGGCTGGGTGTTTAACGAAAATCCTAAAGTGCGCCTGCATCCGTCTTTGCCGAGAAGATAAAGTAAAAGATACTGTTTTGATCAAAATCATTTTGTGTTGTTCGGTAGACGAATACTTTAATTGTTTTTTGGTGCAACTTAATATATATAAACTAATTATAGCGAAGCACCTCAGACAAAAATGCAGTCGTTACAAGAAGTCTCGCTGTTTCACCACAGTAAATGTGAGTAACTTAGTTTTATTCGATCGATTTCAACTGAACCGAACTGAATCTTTTGGAGGCCCTGTAATGTTGTATATTAATATAAACTACAACATAACTTCCTGGTCCGCGTGGATTTTTTTCTAGTTATATTTTCTTTAGATTTAAACATCAAGCAGTTACATGCTTTAAAAATAAAAATTACAACATAAAGATAAAATAATGTATTGTTTATCATCATTATTTATAGATTGAACTGGCTTCTAATTGGGTTAGTTATAACATCGTTACATTAATATCACAACAACACATCCGCCATCGTTTCCCATTACTGAGATTAATTTCGTTCTTGAACTAGTTTTTTTTTTTAATTTGCACTGACCTATTAATTTGTAAATCAATACAGTGGTGAATTTGACTACTTCGTTGAAGAATTGTATTGACTGTTCTCTTTGGAATAAGATTTACATTCCCTTGGATATTTTATGAATGACAGATGAATATTGCTACAGGAAGTGACATTCGAAAACTAAAGATTCGAACGAGGCGTTCTTAAAATAAAAGTCAAAGTGAAAAGGAATAAATTTGAATTTGAATGCTCACCTCCTCGACGGACTTTTTGGAGAACTCGTTCATGGACACAATCCATTGCTGCACTAGTTCATTCACAATAACAAGATCATTATATAACCACGTCAACAGTTCGTTAACCCACTGCACGCTCGGATGGTCGGGGCCCGTGCAAGTGGGCACTATGATGCTTTGGTGTTTTTTTAAAGTTAACTGCTCAGGGCCGGGGGACATTCGGCCTAGACGTTTCTTATTAGGCGGCGTGGCGGGCACGAATCCTGAAGGCTTCGGTTTGAATGATGTAAACGAGTTGGATTTCACTTTAGCACTGGTCGCGAGCACCGAGTCAGCACTGGTGATGATTTCGTTCGCGGTTGACTTTTTCGGGGGTTCATCGTTCGTTTTGACAGTCTTGGTATCGACCTCGGCGGTCTTTGTCACGTACTTCCCGTACGCCCATTTGGCTATGCCGAGAAGCACTATGGAGAGGAGCATCCAGACGAATATGAGCATGACTAGGTTGTCCATGGCTGTGTCCATATAGTCGAAGCTGCATATGAAGTCGTCAACCGCCTCGGCTAGGTCAGCCATAGTTTTCCATGGTGCACGCCACCATTGAGCAGCGTTCCCGTCCGCTGCGTCTCCGGATACTGATTCTGAACGCGAGCTGAGCATTTTTTCTCTATTTTCGAACGCACTATTTTCGGAGCGTAGCTCTGTCTCTTTCCCGCCCGCGTCTTAAGGCCGCACGGCGTTCGTTATATGAAAAACGTTTAAAACTTTATTTTGAAATTAAAAATAACGTTATTTTTTTATTATACCGTTTAATATCACCGTTTTATTTGAAAATGAACACATTATTTGAGTGTTATTTGTTTGGGTTTAATTGATTATTTTTGTATTTAATTCAATGTTTTTAGTTCGTTCGGTCGTATTCGGTCGCGGTTTCGTTTTGTAAACATAAATCTTTGGTGTGATGCTGTTCCTCCATTAGTATCGTGCCGAGGATTCCTGAAACAAACAAAAAATTCATTAAATATAAATCTATGTTTATATGTGAAACGATCGGTACAACAAAGACCAGCAGCCTTCTTCTCCAGAGGTTCTGGGTTCGAATTCTTATACTTCTTTATGTGATGAACATTAGCATTTAATCTTCAGATTACCTATATTTATTACATAAATTTTATTGAACAATACATTAAAATGGTATAACAGGGCGGACTTAATTCTAAAGCATTCTCTTCCAGTCAACCTTTTTTGCCGGATTTTTAGGTTTAAAAAAATACGCAGAAATTATCTCCACGCCACGTCAGTCGCGAACTTGCCACCAATTGTTTTTTGATTGCAATCTACTTACCCAAACGAGCCCCATTCAACCATTCGAGTGAAAACTACAATGCTCTATCCCTTTTTATTAAAATGTTCGTCTGTGAAAGACAGATATTGACCTTGAAGATATTCAAATTATATCTCATAGCCATAGATAGATACAATATCGAGGGATAATTTTGTATTATAATTTGTTAAATGCTATGAATGCCACGATATCTTGAATTAAGTTTAAAGATATTCTCAAAGATATCTTTTACATTAAAATAAGTGTTGTATAACACACAGGAAATGATCTCGTAACATTCACGGTAACAACAACAGTGGTATGAATATTGGAACTGGTTTCCTCAAAGGATAACAAGAGCCGGTCAAATGTCAATGTCGAAACATAATTATATGTTTATTTTATGCATTATTAAGATTTCATGGTTAAGTGAAAAAGAAGCATTTAAAAAGTGCAATGAAAACTTTGCAGACTCATTGTCATAAAGAAAAGATTATTAAAAAAATGAAAACTTCTTTTTCCTATTTTAAAGACTTATTGGCGGGATCGGGAAGCGCCACTTAAGCAATTTTGTTTTTCTTGTTAAAAATTGTGTTGTGGTGGATGTTAATGTCTAATAATGGTGGATTATTAACCACTAAGGGTTCGGGAACATGCACAAGTGTTGGCAAGTGAAACAAAATAACGGAAAGTGTCTTTCGACGTTCCCTCAAGAAGTCCACGGGAAGGTTCCAGTAAATCCCCACACTTTTACTGAAACATTGGGAAAGGGGGATTGACTTGACTGCCACTTACTTTGACTTGATTTATTACTTTGACCACGAGTGCTATAGTATTTGTAAACATTTTAACACTTGACATTTGCTAAATGCACAAGCCCTGTGAAGCCATTTAGAAAAAGAAACCTGTATTTTGGCGCCAATTTTTACAGTATTACGATGTTAGGCATGGACTTATACGTCCATGATGTTACGTACTTTATTGTAGATGATGCAGCTTTGATTAAGTTACAATTACGTTTTCTTTTCATAAAAGGATCTTGTTATAAGAAATACATGTTGTGTATCTCTAATAACGGAGCGATTTGACTATGAATTAATGTTAAGCTTTTTTTATTTACAAACATCCACTACCCACCGTGGTGAAAGCACCACCTTAAAAGATAATTTAATAGATAAAAAGTTTTTTAACTATCTCTATGCCAATTGGCAGCTAAATCGGTCCAACGGTTTTAGCGTGAAGAGGTTTTAACAAACAGACAGGCAGACACATTTTTGCATTTCTTATACACTTCTACCGCATAGAAAATGACTAGTACCTCGGAACTCCAATTCCATTTTCTCAAAAAGTATAAACTACAACTATCAAAGTTATATTATACCAGAAAGTCAGAGCTGGAATACCCATTGTAGAGCTTCGTTATAATAAAAATGAATTCATTAAATAAAGATGAAAACTAACAATTTTTTCTTCGTCATTATCAAAAAAAAATGCATGTATGTACATACATATTTCATTTACTAGCTATAAGAGAAAGAGAGAAAGAATGTGCGCGCGCTGTGCTTTCTCATGCTTAGGTATATCCCCCACTAAACTCCCGTTCGTCTCCCCCGAACACACTTTTCGTAACACTTTAGAACTAAAGTGTTATGAAAAGTCACGTAACTAAAGAAAAAAAAATGCAACTGACGGACTAAACAGAATGTCATTATCCTAATTTTTATAATTTTTTCACTTTCTTAAATAAGTAAAGAATTAGTTTTCCAAAGTTTCTCTTTTTTCTAACGGAAACCTTTGATCATCGATTCATTGAGATTGCGGTTACGGCAAAATCACTGTGCACGCCTCTTTTCATAAACAATGCGATTCAACTAAGAATAGGACCGACTGGGCGCCATATTGTGACGTCATAGCTGTCAATTAAACCAGTTAGGTAGAGTGAGTAAAAAAGCGACATTTGACAGATGAAAGTCCTTGGCTTTCCTTTTCTTATTTGAATCGCATAGTACTATATTAAGACTTAATGAATTCGGGTAAACGACTAAGTGTAAATGAACGGAGTCGATTATGCCCGTATTCGGGTAGTTTTTTACCCGGCTGCACAATGCAAGAGCGCGAAGCGCGACGCGCAGACAGGGTTATGTGTTTAACAGTCTATATATGTATGTTTGTTCCTTTGTGGCACACTAGAGACCAAACGCCTGGACCGATTTTGATGATTCATACATCAATCGATTCGTCTCAATCATGGGAGTGCTACTAAAGATATGATAGTAATCAAATTTCAATATGGGCAAAATTAGGCGCCATATTGTGACGAAGTAAAAAAAATAAATTGACAAAATATGTCGAGTGGGGTCTGGAGGAACAAAGCTACTTTAACAGTCGGGACCCACTGTTGAAAAATATTATGTATTCTTGAATATCTAATGGGTCCCGACTGTTAAAGTAGCTTTGTTCCTTATTAACAGAATTATAGACTACTGGACTTGTTTTTTTCTTTTCAGTTTTTATTTGAAGTATAATTAAGCAGTCGGGTTTTTGATTTTTTAAATTTACCTTTTTTTTGTTTCGGTTACCTGACGCCGTCTTCCAGCCCGTATTGCAGTGTAAATATTGCTTCGGGTGCCCGAATTCGAGTAATGTCTGTCGTGCACCCGAATACGGGCTGACGAACAAGTGTATTCGAGCCATTAATAATTAATACATCCAAGAACGATACTATCATCGTTACATTACTGTTAAGTTCGGTCTAAGTGTTTAAGCGTGTGGCCTTCCGTGTCTGGCTTTGGCATTGTATCTAGGTCAATCAGACAATGGGATTAGTCATTTGCAAAAAAATCCAACGAAATAAACTAGCTTTTAGGATTAGGAGCTATTGAAATTCATTGTCACCATAAATAGAGCAAAACGGCCGTCGTGGCTAGGAGGGAAGACGGTATACATAGGTTTTCCTTTATACCGAGTTGGGTATATAATTTCGATTCGATGGCACAAGTGGTTAGCGCTTTCGGCTGCGATCGTTGAAGTTAAGTAACTTTCGCAGTGGTCAGTCGTTGGATGGGTGACCAAAAATTGACTATCTTTAGCTACTCCGTGCTTCGGAAGGCACGTTAAGCCGTTGATCCGTATCTGCTGTCGTCAGCACCCACCAATCTGCATTGGGCCCGCGTGGTGGGTCATGGCCTAATCTCCCTATTCCATCCATAGGGAAGGCCTGTGCCCTAGCAGTGGGGACATTAATTAAGCTGATGATGATGATGATGAAGGGCATACAAACGTTAAAAGTATGTGTACAGGATTTGGGCGTGTATTGTGTCATTGTTTATGTGAGTGTCGTAATTTTTTTTTAATACAGTTGCTCAAAAAGTAGCGTATTGCAGGGACGTGTAGCGTTCGGGATCTGGGCTATTTCACACTCGTGCTTTTTTTTGCCTTTCCCGAACTCGTGCGTTTTCTTTCCCAACTGTCAAAATTATTTCTATTAAAAAAAACAACCATGAAGTTTTAACTAAAAAAAATCATAGAAGTTTTTGCGATGCTTTTAAAAAGAAGCTACCTATACTAATTTGTCCAATATCAGAATTAATTAATTGATTGAATGAGTTAGGTAAGGTTTCAGTTCATTTCATATCATTAAATTTCAATTTCATTTCTTATAATAAAAAATACTAAGTACTAAAGACTTGGCTGTATGCGCAGTTCCCTTTGCCTACCAGAATGGGTGAAAAAAAACTGCTTACATTCTACGGTTGGCGCCATTTTCCGAAATTTTCTTTGCGAGTTTAGTTGTTTTTTACACAAAATGAGTAATTTCGACCTAAATTTTTTTAAATTAACTCCACCGGAACTCAGTATAATTGCACAAAATGCTTCGGAGAACATTTTACCGGAAAAGTCAAAAATTCGCTACATATCTACATACGATGAATTTATTGCGTGGAAAGAAGAGAAAAAAGCAAATAGTTTTTCAGAAAATGTTATGTTGGCATACTTTTCCGAACTCTCAGCAAAATTAAAACCTTCTACGTTATGGTCAAGGTTTTCGATGATAAAAAGTATGCTGAAAATAAGGAACAACGTGGATATAAGTCAATATCCAAAATTATATTCTTTCTTAAAACGACAATCAGACGGGTTTACCAGTAAAAAGTCGGAAATATTAACATCGAATGACGTGGAAAGGTTTTTGAAAGAAGCTCCCGATGATTATTATTTAGCCACAAAGGTAATTTATTAATAAGTATACATATCTACATTTTTCTTTAGTGTTCAGTTTACAAAATCGCAAAATACAGTCAATACATTATTTATATGAATCAAATCGTTTTTTTAGGTTGCTCTGATTTTTGGCGTTGTTGGAGCTTGCCGCAGAGAGGAGTTAGCCAATATTACTTTAAAAGATATTGAAGCCCATGGAGAAATGCTACTTATCTAGATTCCAAACACAAAAAATAAGATACCGCGAAGCTTTGTTGTTGAAGGAGATTTTCTCACAATAGTGAAAAAATATATGAACCAGCGGTCCCAAAAAGGAAAATCCGACCGTTTTTTTCAAAATTTCCAAAAAGGGAAGTGTACAGCTCAAGTAATCGGCATAAACAAATTTGGTAATATGCCAAAAGAAATAGCTACGTTTCTTGGTCTGCCGGATGCTGAGTGTTATACTGGG